AGCAAGAGAGGGTGGAGTTCAGATTTCGCATGGAAACAAGGGTTGATAAGAGACAACATACAAGATCGAACAACATTAAAGTGAATTTGTACACATATTATAATGGAGAGAGAGAGAGAGTTCAGGAGGGTGAGACTGAATAGTGTTGTAAAATTATGACATAGACAAAACATTGAAGTAGATTTGAAAACTTGACAGTGAGTTCAACTCAATGGGTGAGTGAGTGACAATCAAAATTAAGTGGAAGGTTACTGTTGTAATTATTTGTAATTGTAGTATTAGTATTTCGAGATGACCGAATTACAAGAATCCAACCAAAACACACAGAGAGGGCGGAATTCAGGAATTTGTATCTAGCGGAATTATAATGCCCATTCATATAAGAAATATATTAACAATCAACAGTAAGTATTTAAACAATACAGAGATAGAAATTGTCAATCACCACAGTTACGCATCGAGACAAAACACACACGAACAAAGCAATTAAGGCTACCGGAGTACTGAAAGATTAGTCACTCTATCTTTTTGTATACAAACAGAGAATCATTGGAAAAACTACCCGGGAATACTGGACAGCTGTTTCGTCCGTTGGGGGGGGGCGTGCTAATGAAGAGTCCCAAACTAGTCTGACGAAACAGCTGTCCAGTACTCCCAGGTTTATCTATGGTTCTCTAACTGGTATCAGGTCATGATGAAATCCTTCAACCGGTCAATCAAACAAAATCTCTACAAATCCAATACTTGAAAATTCCTAAGAACTCACCCCCTAAAATGGATATACTTAAAGAGACTGAGAGTTTCAATACTGACAAATGCACATAATTTGATATAATTCAGCGGACGAATCAACACAAAATAAACATCAACACAATAGTATGCATATATAGAAATGGAAAGTGACACATAGGTCATGACCTGATCACTCTGCACACATAAAAGCACAGGTTATTCTTTACATGAAAAATCACATACTATGAATTTGATTTAAACAAAGTGAAGCGATGACTCAATAGAATCTATTAGTCAGGATGGTTAAAGTTCAAGGTAGTAAGGAAAATCAATATATAGGAGACAGTAGCTGTGATAGAGGTGAAGATATCGTCAGGCGGTGAAGAAGAATAAGCGACTATCATCCTCCTACTGTCAATAAACTCGATGGTAAACTTGTACATTCGAAGCTGTAGAGATCAATAAGAAGAAATTTGATCTATGTGTGTGCAAAACGAAAATCACATTCGTCCTCTTTGTTTACCCTGACCTATTGTAAGGTCAACAGGGACATAATCATCTCATATTTTCATGTCTTATTATGGCCGTTTTATTCCTTTTCACCTACTTTACTTCATTCGTGTGCGTCGGTGGCACAGCGGTTAGGACTTTCGCCGATCATGCAAATGATCCGAGATTCTATCCCCTACCGACGCACATCTGACTGATATCATCAATTGATCGGCCTGTAAAATTTGGGCTACCGATATCACATGCTGAAAGTTTCATACGTGTACCAAAAATACAGTGTGATTTCAGGCTATTATAAACAAAAAATAAAAAAGATCTTCCTAATTAAGTGTTTTTGAACCCTTTGTAACTTATACAACGCAGTTCATCATATCTCTAAGATTTGATTACAGTTCATATTATTTGAACCTCTTTATTTTATCACATTTCTTGAACTTACTATATTCAGTGTTCCTCATTTATTTTTGTATGTGTCCTTGGGGTAATCGTATTTTCAAGAGTTTGGTTGGTACAGAGTAGATGTGTTTATACGATTTTGATCCTAAACAATTTGCATATAAACATGGTAGAAGTAGCTTGGATGCTGCGGTTGTCTTATATCATAATGTTGTTTCTTGTTTAGACAGACAAAGGTGCCAAATATGTTCGTGATGCTTTCCTAGACTACACATCTGCATTTCACTCTCCACCTAGGGGCCTTTTATTAAATAAGCTTTCGTTGACGCAAACAGGATCCTGGGCTAAGAGTTGGTTGCATTCCTATTTTTCTGATAGAATGCAGTATACTGTATACATAATGGCAAATCTTCTTCCACCTCGCTTATGAAAGCCGATGTTCCTCAAGGTGTCGTCCGTCCTCTCTCCTTTTGTTTTTTTCTTTCTTCCTACACGACCTGCCTGATTTAAACGAAACTAACTTTATCAAACATGCAGATGATCTGACTGTATCACTCACTGTCCATCACTTCTGAGTCTGACTGCTCCAAACTTAATAGCTTTCTGTTGAACATTACAGCAAGTGGTCTAAGTGGTCTTATGTTAAATCTTTCCAAATGTCAGGCAGTTAACTTTACTTTCAAGGATCGACGTGACATACATGAACTAGTTAGTTGCCATGATGCCTGTAGCATAGATGGCACTGAAATTGAAACCAAATCAGGCATTAAATACCTTGGATTAGTTCTTTCCTCTAACCTTTCATGGTCCACATCCCACATCTTATCAATCTCTAAGAAAATATTTCGTCTTACCTTCTAGATTAAAAAGTTAAGACAATAAAGTATCAACCAACCTTTAGTTCTACACCTGTATTTTACTTATTGTACTCTATTGCTCTCCATTAATCTTTCCTGGGCTTCTCAAAAAGACTATATCATATTACGAAGGGTATTAAATGCTGTGAGTAGGGCTTGTGGTATGCCACTGCGTGAGCTCGCCAATACTATAGTCGAGAGACATATAACATGCTGTACAAAATGGGCAAAGGCTGTACTGTCAGACCCTCTGCACCCCCTTTATTCACAACTATCCCCTTGCATGTCATCAGGTCGGACGAGAAGTCAATATAAAAAGTTATATGGTCGCACCACTAAGTACAAACATTCTGCAATACCCTATTTAGCACGTTATTTTATATGATGAAGACACTATTAAACGTGAAAAATATAAGTTACAATGTTAATAGCAAAGTGAATCGACCCTTTCATTGTTCATCTTTCTGTTATTTTATGGTGTCACCATTTTTATCGTTTAATTATAACTTTGCTATTTTATTTTAGTTGTTATTCCTTTTATTACTACAATTTTATACTTTATGCATAGTTTTCTGCTTATCGCATATTGTAATTGCTACATAGCTGCTACCACAGCGTTTTATTATTATTATTATTATTATGTAATGTTTATTTTTTATTTGTCGTTTTGAGTAAATTAGATGCAATATTGTACTGAATGCTGAAAATGCCTTGCTGTATCATTAGCACTGTTTTTGGAATATAGCAAATTATTATTATTATTATTATTATTATTATTATACGAGTCTGACCATGGATTGATATCATTTAGAGGACTATTGAAAAGGAGAGGGGAGTACAGGACAGCTGTTTCGTCGTAGTTTTGGGAATCAACGGCAGTACTCACCCATCAAACTAGGGTCAAACAGCAGCTGTCCAGTACTCCATGGTGGTTGGGTTTTTTCAATGGTTCTCTAACTGATATCAATCCGTGTGAGTGGTCAAACTCGTAAAAACATGACTAACCCTTACATACCAAACTGAGAGTTCAGGAGGTTGAGATTGAATAGTGTTGTAAAATTATGACATAGACAAAAAACATCAAGTAGATTTGAAAACTTGACAGTGAGTTCAACTCAATGGGTGAGTGAGTGATAATCAAAATTAGTTGGAAGGTTACGCAACGAAACAGAACGCACGAACAAAAAAAAATTAAGGTTACCAAGATTGTGAAAGATTAGTCATACTATCTTTCTGTATCCAAACAGAGGTGTTGGGTCAAAATCTTTTGATAGCAAATGACTTCTACGAACCGAAGTAACCATGCTTTTCCTTGCGTATCGATTATTTTGAAAGCTTAACTAATTCTCGCTGTATGTATGTCCCATATCAATTAAGTGTGTCTGACAGTTGCATTTGAGAATATTTTGTTACCTTACATACGAAGACTTTTTGTGACATGCTCAGAAAATCGAATAGACACTCTCCTCTCAATCCTTCTTACGTTGTACTTACTGCCGTAAATGCAAGCGAATTGTTAAGTGCATTTGGTAGAATGATGCTCAGGAAGGATTCATGTGCTTTTGGAAGTGTGTGGGCAGTTGTTACTTCCAGGCTAACCCACTAACACCGTGGAAGTTGCTTGATTCTTCGGGTACCTGAATTAGAGAGAGGGTTAGTGTTGCGTAACCACAGAGCCCAGGGGACAAATGCTTGAGACCAACCAGTCACACACGGCGTGTATGAACTGATTTCTGGGATTAGTTCCGTATTAGTAAACTTACCGCCGGTTACGGACCACCGTAGGTGGGGTAAGTCGGGATGTACACTTTTTGGGGTCGACCTTTTCTAAGCCCCTCTCTCCAACGGAGTGAAGAGACAGCATAGTTGGCTGGCTGACATGCTGGTCATCTGAGGGAAACACCTCACTGTGGCTGTTACACCCCTGTTCCCCAGCAGTACGACATCGCCCACAGACCCTCAGCAAGTGTAAGAAAGATTCCCTCACTATGCGGGCAACTGCTTTTAGTCTAATCGCTATCGTAACAACATTCCTCGCATCGTAGGACCTGCGGGAATATTGATTCCAGCCAGTGTAGCTTGTTGGTAGGTCATCGCGATGTGTAAACCCCACCACCATGTCAAGGTAGCAGCTATCTGTTGGGTAAGTGCATTTAGGGTTGACATGCAGAGCAGGATACACTTCCCTACTTGTGACTGAGTTAACGAATATACCTTGTTGTCACGTGGAATGTGAGTCTAACGACAGGGAATGTTCTTTTTCTGGGTGTTTTGCAATAACAGGATTTCATCATGAGCTCACTGACATGAGTTAGCGAACTATTGGAAAACTTGCTAGGAGAGTATTGTACGCAGTTGTTCCTTCGGTAGTACTGCGTTTCCAACCCAGGACCTTTGGGTTACTTGGCGAGGTCGTAGACCATTCATTTGGCCACTGGGACGTGATTGAATCGCCTATGAATTTATTATGTGTTTATTTTTTGTTTTTGTCTGCATTTGTTTTAGACTCTCTCCAATTCATCCTCGTTCATCGCCTGTAAGAAGTCCACGAACACGTTGGCGACTAATGAAAGCTTCACTTCGTCGTCTTTAAGTTTCTACCGTTATTACCATTACTACTATTACTATTACTGGAATAGTATCGTAATTATAATTTACCATTGTTCTTTCATATGTATATATTCTTACCCCTGACCTCACCCCACTCCCCAGTTTATTAAAATCAATATTTTACGTATCATTTGTTTTTAATAATCTTAATAATAATACTAATATATTCTTGTTTTACTTACTGTTCGTTCGACAAAAACTCATTCCCGTTGATTACAAACACTTCTGTCTGTACACGATGCTGTTTCTTTCGATGAAAGAGACACCCAATGCTTTTGTGTTGTTAGTTGCTTTTGTGTAATTTTTAAAATTTATAAATAAACCACAAATTTTTTCGCATATTCGTCTCAGTTATTCATCGCGGATTGATATCAGTGTTAGAGAAAGCCATTGAAAATCAGGATGGAGTGATAGACAGTTGTTCCGCCCTAATCTTTTGTGGGTCTCTTCATCAGTACTCACCCACTGCTTCAGGGTTCGAACTCGGCGCCTTTCGGTTCCACTGGGACCCAACTGATGAATGACACCCATGAATTTTCTATTTCACATGAAATGGTTATTTGATGTTCTCCTTCTATGAGGATGTTCAAAATTTAATGAAGTTCATTCGAAGAATACTGTACGATTGTGATGATGAGGTAGGCGGCTTTGACTGAAATAATTGAGAAGATTTTTGGGCTAAGTGGATGATTCTGATTTAGTTGTGTTGTTGTCTGAGCTGGCTAGTTGACTGAACTGTGAAGGTTTTGTTGTCCTGCTTCTAGATAACATCGCTTCAGTGAACTTTTCGGAATTCGTTCTCCACGAATGATGATATAATCGTATCTCGTCTGACAATAATTGTTGAGATTGGTTGTTATCTTACATCTCTATTGATCATTTCTAATGACTTGGAGTATGAACATTCTTGTCATGATGTATTTTTAATTTGTGGATGGTGACTAGCAGTGGAATCCAGGACAACGCGCATTTCGTCCTATTTGGGACTCGTCACCAACTGGATGTACCTGCATTTCTCAGTGAGTGATGATATTCCCACCGAGACTCGAACCCAGTGCCCATGGGTTCAAACACCAAAGCGTTATCCACTTGGGCCACGAAATGCACATCCTGGATTCCACTGCTAGTCACCATCCACCAATTAAATGCCCAGACATCGTCGAAGCATCTGCACAAGAAGCCAACAGACATGTCAACCTGAGACCGAGCACTTCGGTCCAATCAATCGACGGGAAAATCTAAAATTCAACTGAGGCGATTGGCATTCATCTGAAGAAGCCAAGCCTATGTGTACAGAAAAAATTTGTACAGCCACTTTCCCCACCGTGGCCATCGTCACAAGAATGGATAAACAGGACTGCGTCACCCCCCTTCCCCTAACCCTATAAAATTATATTTGTCTAAATTATTTATTTTATTTATTTTGACCACTTTATCTTTAATTTACGTGTTATTCTTGTAAAAATTAATTTATTCTATCCATTTCCACCTTTTAAATCTGTTTTGATTTTCTTCGTTAACTATTAACCCATTGACACTGTTTAATTATTGTTAACAAACGTATCGCCACTTGATTGGCAAACTGTTGTATTGTAATTAAAATGCTATATATATATTAGAGTCTGTCTCTGTCTGGATTCAACATAGAACTTGGCACCGAAGTGCACCAGTTCGAGTTGCCACGTTCCAAATAGCACACAGAGGTAGACAAGAAGATGAGTGAAGAGAATCAATAGAGTTTGACAAGTATAAGAGTGAAACAGAATGGGTAATGGTAGAAAGGAATATGAAAGATTACAGAGACTGAATACATCTGCGCTGGCCATTGACAACGATTTTGAGCCATGTCACCTATTGTCTCCAGCCATTGATTCCTAGAGTCCCGAGGGCCCCAACCCGGAAGTCTGCATCTCCCTACCTGACTCAGTTTAACTGTCAAGGATTTCATGGATTGATGCCATGTTTTTGTTTGGCCACCACTGGCTCTTTTCCAACCTGAACCTATATCAGCTAGCAATGCCCGTCGGGGGAGGCGGTGGTTAGGCATGCGCACCACGTGACCTAGCCATCTTAGTCTATGTAACTTTATAGCCTCGTCGATTGATTTTCCCTCTTTGCCCAACACTCTACGCCTAACGTCAACATTACTTACCTTATTATACCACCTAACGTGAGACAGAGATCGCAGACATCTATGATCGAAAGCAGTCAACCTTTTCATGTCTTCAACGCGTATTGGCCATGTTTCAGAGCCATAGAGAAGGACGGAGCGAACTGATGAGCAGTACACACGTCCCTTGGTTGATAACCGGATGTCACGCCTACGCCAGAGATGGTGTAAGTCAGCGAAAGCAGCTCGAGCTTTTCGGATCCGTGCTGAGATTTCATCGCCAATCAGTCCGTTGGTGCTAATACAACTTCCCAAATAGGTGAAGTGGTCAACATGTTCTATCACTTCACTCCCTATCACTAAGTTAGGGTTGACGTGGTCCAGTCCTGTAGCAGCATCTTACATTTTGCAGGGGCGAATCGCATGCCAAACATACGAAGATTGCTGCTCAAGGTGTTCAGAAGACTCTGCATTTTGTCAGCATCCTCCCCTAACAGGACTATGTCATCTGCATATTCTAAGTCCATAAGATTATTCCCTGGTAACAAGTCGTTACGTTCAGTTAAGGATACTTCCATTAGCATATCTATGATGAAGTTAAACAGAAATGGGGAAAGTGGACATCCCTGTCGGACACCACTGGTTGTTACCAATTCAGATGACAATTCCCCATAAGCCCTTACACGACTACGTGAGTTTGAATAGAGTGCCTTGATTAGTGCAATGTACTTTCTTGGCACTCCCTTCACAGTCAGACATTGCCATAGTACCTTTCGATCCACGGAGTCGAAGGCCGCCTTCAAGTCAAGAAATATGACAATTGTTGGACGCCGAAAAGTGTGTCTATGTTCTAGAATCTGTCGAAGAGTGAAGATATGATCTATGCACCCTCTACCTGGTCTAAAGCCTGCTTGATTTTCCCTTGTCTGTTCCTCCCGAGTTCTGCTTAGTCTATGCATGATTACTGAGCCTAGGATTTTAGAGACTATGTTCGTTAGGCTGATCCCCCTATGATTATCACACGAGGACTTGTTTCCCTTCTTGAATATCGGTATAATAAGTGACTTACCCCAGTCTGATGGCACTGTCTCTGATTCCCAGACTTTGCCTAGTACCTCAGTTAATCTACAAACTAGTATGTCACCCCCATATTTAAACACCTCCGGAATAATTCCGTCGGGTCCTGCCGCTTTGCCTCGTTTCAAATTACTGATAGCTTTTGTAACCTCACTACAGACGGCGGACCAGTGTCTATATCCCATTCGGGTGTGTGGATGGCGGGGAGGTTCAGTGTGGCTGTAGGCAAGTTAAATTGTCCCTCAAAGTGTTCTTTCCAGCGTTCAAGGCGTCTATCCTGAGAGCTAATTAAGGAGCCATTTTTCTCAGAAATAGTCTCACTTATGAATTGCCTTCTCCCACCCGTTTCTGATGAGTCTAAAGAGTTGCCTAGTGTTGCCTATCGCCGATGCTTTTTCCATCTCTTTCGCCTTTGTCACCCACCACTGTTCACGGTCCTTGCGGAGACTTTTAGTAAGTTTCCTTTTGTGCAGCTTTCGCTCCTCATTGAATTCGGAGCTCGCCGGAATAAGTCTTCTAGCATCTATCAGTTCGGATGAGGCAGTCGAAATCCAGTGGTTTTTACTCACCTTTGGATTTGCCTTATTCACAGCTTTTACAGCTGTATCTATAGCTGACTGAATATTCTTCCAGGCTTCTCCAGGGTGAGCACAGCTGTCGAATTCAGATATGCGTTTAGCTAGTTCTTCCTCAAATAGGGATTTAGTTTCCTGATCGAGCTGGGGACGTGATGGTTTTACCGCCAGCTGTTTCCTACGTCCGTTCAGTCGTAAGCACACACGAGCCCGGACCAGTGCGTGATCGGTATCTACACACGTGTTCCAGAAGGAGCGACAATCTCCTACCGACCCACGCCAACGATAGCTTATTGCTATGTGGTCTATTTGTGTCCAGCGTTGGTTTGATGATGGGGGTCGCCAGGTTAAACAGTGTCTCTCCTTGTGTTTAAAGTTAGTGCTTACAAGAAACAAATGATTATCTGAACAGAACTGTAGGAGACGGTCACCGTTGTCGGTTCGCTGGCACGGAACTCCATAGGTGCCACCGACATCCTTCTCAGATTGACACAATTTCCCTACTTGAGCGTTAAAGTCACCAGCTAGAACGACTATATCTGAGCGTTTAGCCTTTCTCACCAAACTAGACAGCTTTTGGTAGAACTCATCCTTCGTTTCATCCGAACTGCAGTCAGTGGGGGCAGGAGTTTTTCTTTATTAACTAAATTCTTGTCATGGGATTTATTTTTTATTAGTTGGTAGATTTGATTTATCATCAGCCGTGTATGAGTTTATGAAACCAGTAGGTACCAACACTTCACGTCTTTACGGTCTATCCAAAGTGTACAAACTGGGTCTTTCTCTCCACCCTGTTTTAGATATGTATAACTCTCCATTTCAAGGAACACCAAAGTGGTTAGTGAAGATTCTGTGCGGCATAGAATTAGTCACCATTAAATTATAACTTAATAAATGGAGGCTTTTTGCGTGCAGTCAGAGTGTCAGCTTTTCTCTGATGTTTTCATATATTTCTTTATGAAACTACTCGGTTAGCCCATCTCCCTCAAGGAATCATGAATATATTCAAATACATTTTGTAACAGGTCATCCGTACACATCTTTCTTGCTCTGCTCACAAAACTTTCAACAACATTCTTTTTATATTTAATGGGCACGTAACTAAGGAAGTGTGTGTATTACCCTATGAATGTGCTTTTTCTATACACGCTTCTCCCAAGTGACCCATCTTCTCGCCTACTTAGCAAGACATCCAGAAAATGTAGTTTATTCTCCCGCTCC